AAGCTGCTGCTAAGCAGTTATGTGACCACTTGCACAAGAATGATTTGTTTGAGGATTTTCAGTCAGGTTTTAGAGTCCATCATAGTACAGAAACTGCATTGGTGAAAGTCACCAATGATCTTCTCCTAGCCTCAGACAAAGGACTTGTCTCCATACTTGTCCTCTTAGATCTCAGTGCTGCTTTTGACACCACTGATCACAGCATCTTACTGCAGAGACTTGAACATGTTATTGGGATTAAAGGAACTGCGCTAAGTTGGTTCAAATCTTATTTATCAGAAAGATTTCAATTTGTTCATGTTAATGACGAATGTTCCACACAAACTGAAGTTAGTCACGGTGTTCCACAGGGCTCTGTGTTAGGTCCAATTCTCTTCACTTTATACATGCTCCCTTTAGGCAATATTATCAGGAAGCACAACATAAATTTCCATTGCTATGCAGATGATACTCAGTTATATTTATCTATGAAGCCAAATGAATCAGATCAGCTGGTCAAACTTCAAGCATGTCTTAAAGACATAAAGGCCTGGATGGCCTGTAACTTCTTACTTCTAAACTCTGACAAAACTGAAGTCATTGTGCTTGGGCTGTAAATGTTAGAAATGTGCTATCTAATCATATACTTACTCTAGATGACATAGCTCTTGCCTCCAGTACTACTGTGAGGAACCTTGGAGTCATCTTTGATCAGGATATGTCCTTTAAATCACACATAAACCAAGTCTCTAGAACTGCCTTTTTTCACCTGCGCAATACTGCGAAAATCAGGAGCATCCTGTCTCAAAGTGATGCTGAAAAACTGGTTCATGCATTTGTTACTTTCAGGCTGGAGTACTGTAACTCTTACTTACTTACTATCAGGATGTCCCAATAGTTTCCTAAAATACCTCCAGTTAATCCAAAATGCTGCAGCCAGAGTACTGACAGAAATTAGCAAGAGAGATCATATCTCTCCCATATTAGCTTCTCTCCACTGGCTCCCTGTAAAATTCAGAATAAAATTTAAAATCCTTCTCCTAACATACCAAGCCCTTAATGACAAGGCTCCATCATATAAAGACCTCGTAGAGCCTTATCATCCTAACAGAGCACTTTGCTCTCAGAGTGCAGGTTTACTTGTGGTTCCTAGAGTCCACAGACTGAGGGGGGCTACCTTAACACTGAGGTTGGACTCAAGTGTGCAGACCCAGGTGCTAGGGGGAAAAACATGATGGTAGCAGGTAACAAAAAGAACACAAAGTATCAAAGGAACATAACATGTGTCGTCTACAGGGGAAGATAATGTATGCGTGTAGTGTAGCGCATATGTAGTGTGAGAAGAGTCAAGCCAAAACGCACAGTGTCTGTCAGCGTAGCATTCCACCCACACGTACATAATGCGGCACTGTGTTAGTTAGTTATTTATTTAGTTATTGTTCCGGCCCCGACGGAGCGTCGGCCAGAGGTATAAGTAAGGACCAAGTAATCATCGGGATGCACCCCAGCTGTGTGCATCGACAAGCCAGTTGCTAATTACTGGAATGCAACACAGCGGAGGTGCAGAGCCCACAGGATCAAGAGAATAGAGGAGAGAAAGACGGAGGATAGGCAGCGGCCGCCGAGCGGCCCTGACAGGCAGAGCCTTTAGCTATCAAGCTCCTCACCTGTGGAACCAACTCCCAGTCTCAGTTCGGGAGGTGGACGCCCTCTCTACCTTTAAGATTAGACTTAAGACTTTCCTTCTTGATAAAGCTTATAGTTAGGGCTGGATTAGGTGACCCTGAGCCTTCCCTTAGCTATGCTGCTATAGTCCTAGGCTGCATGATGCTCTGAGTTTCTCAAGGGCACTTGACACAACCCCAGAACATGACAGACTGTGGATTTTGGACTTGTTGCTGCTAACAGTCTGGATGGTCCTTTTCATCTTTGATGCGGAGCACATGACCTGTATTCCTTCCAAAAAAGACCTCAAATACTGATTCGCATGCACTTCTGGACACTGTTGACATAGGGCTTCCTTTTGGCACAGTCCAGTTTTAAGCAGTATTTATGGATGTAACTATGTATTGTAGTGCTTGACACAGGTGAGCCAAAGTCATCCTGAGCCCATGTGGTTATATCACTCATAGAAGAGTGACAATTCTTGATGCAGCACCATCTGAGGGATCAGAGAGCACAGTCATCCAGTTTAGGCTTGGCCCTTTATGCACTGAAATCCCTCCAGATTCCTTGAATCTTGTAATGATGTTCTGCACCGTAGAGGGTGACAGATCCAAGTCCCTTCCTGTCTTTCTTTGAGAAATATTGTTTTTAAACATTTTAGTACTTTTCTCACACATATGTTGGCAAACTGGTGGTCCTCCACTTCTGTACCAAATCATGATGCAGTCACCTGTTGACATCACCTGTTTCAAACGGAATCATCATTTCATTGTTCTACCTCAGTACTGGCCCTGAAATGCAACCGTCACTTTTTTGGAATGTGTTGCAGTGTTGCAGCATCAGGATTGAAGTCACTGTTTATTTTGAACAGAGAATAAAACTGATGAGGTATCACATCAAATAATGTGCTGCTGTCTTGTTTTCCATGTAATACAGGACACAGATGATTTAGACATCACTATTTTCTGTTTTAATTTTGATTTTACATACCACCCCAACTTTTTCTGATTTGGGGTTGTATAACATCTGTATGGATGACCCCTTATTAGGCATTCGTGCTGTGGTTCAAAGCGATTTTCTCTTCTTCACAGGGCTCAATAATGTCTCATTATTTTACGAGAGGTTGTAGTTTTTGGTAAATTTCATGTCTTCAGACATTCTAGACTGCCTCGCATAGCCTGTAAAAATGGATACCCCCACCTCTATATTGTTCTGTGTAACTAAAAGGCTCACATTGTGTTCAGCCCTACTTCTATCCATAAAGGAAATTGTTTATATAACAATATATACAGTCCAATGCACTAGATAGTATTCATCTAGTTGCCCCCATTATTTGTTTCTGACCAAGAGTGTTTTCAATGTTTTCTCTCAGTTGATTGTTAACAGGCCACAATTAACATTGGTCTGTCATCTGTATTTACACACACACAGCGACATATTTCCTAAAAGTATTGGCTTATGATTTTAGTAATTATTACATCTTTTACCTGCAATAAACTTCTGCTTAATTGGATAATGTTGATAATGTCCCATGCTGCTTGCTTTGACAGCATATGCAGAATGCTATTCACCATATTAACCAGTAGGAGTGCTAATATGTATCCTTTAGAAGTAAGTAAGTAAGTAAGTAAGTAAACTTTATTTATATAGCACTTTATCAACTTTATCACATCAAACCTAAAAGCAATTCAAATAATAGAATAAAAACAATTCATAAAAATCTGTAACCCCAATCAATTAAAAAACTGTCTAAATAAATGTGTCTTCAGCTGCTTTTTAAAACCCTCAACAGATTCGGCCATACAAAAAGACAAGGGCAGAGCATTCCACAATCTTGGAGCAACCGCCTTAAAAGACAGGTCCCCCTGAGATTTAAAGCGAGTTTTTGGGACCAACAAAAGGGGCTGATTTGAGGAACGAAGAGTACATTTGTGAGAATATGGAACCAACAAATCAGAAATATACTGGGAGACCTGCCCATGTAGTGCTCTAAATGTCAGCACTAAAAATTTAAAATCAACTCTGACCTTGACTGGTAGCCAGTGAAGTGAGTACAAAACCGGAGTGATATGAGCTGATCTAGAGGTTCCTGTGAGGAGCCTCGCAGCAGCATTCTGGACAATCTGAGGTCTGTGTAAAGTAGACTTATTACAACAAGTAAAAAGAGAGTTACAATAATCAATACATGACGAAATAAAAGCATGAACAATCATTTCAAGATCCGCCTTTGATAAAATCTTCCTTAATTTAGAAATGTCTCCTAAATCAGTGGTCCCCAACCTTTTTATCACTGCGGACCGGTCAACGCCTGACAATTTTCCTGCGGCCCCCCGGGGGGGGGGGGGGGGGGGGGGGGGGCGCAGAAGGGGGGGGGGGGACTCAGCCCGCCCCCTTGTTTGTTGTTGTTTTGTTTTTACTTGTGTTTCTGTCAGATTTGCCCTGTTTTCTCTTTTCTCTTCTTCTCTTTCTCTGGTTGTCTTTCGCAGGTCCCAGCTCCCGTGACATGCACAGCTGAAACGCATCGCAGCAGCTCACGGGCTGTGACACAGCTGAGGTGTATAATCAGAAGATCACGGGCAGAGCTCAGTTTTTACTTGCTGCATAATTAGACATGTGATCGTGCACCAGCTGGGAGAATGAAGACTCAGGCTCAGTCTCACCCAAAGTCTCATGTTTGAAACATGTCCAAAATGCCTCTGTTGACGCGCCGTCCCCACAAATCCAGTTTGGCTTTAAATGCAGCTACTTTATCTGCCAACTTGAAGACAGTTGTCATTTTCCCCTGAAGTGACAGATTGAGTTCATTGAGCAGGCTGAATATGTCCACAAGTAAGCCAGTTTTGGCGCTCAAGTGACCGAGATGTAACCGAGAGAATGCGGTCATTTTTCAAAATAAAAGATCGTTCAGACTCAGATAATAAATAAAACGGAAATAATTAATGATTTCTTGTACGGCCCGGTACCAATTGATCCACGGACCGGTACCGGTCCGCGGCCCGGGGGTTGGGGACCACTGTCCTAAATGATAAAAGCAGTTCCTGACTAACTGTCTTATATGACAATCAAGAGACATAGCCTGTTCTAACACAACACCAAGGTTTCTCAGGAGCATGACAATGTGGTATTTGTAATCAGTATGCCCCACCAGCCATTTTGTCTCACAGTAACATGACACTGTACATCATGCCCAAAACCAACAGGCCCACAGTGCACCTGCAGCTGTTTCTTTAAAATGTGACAAATGAGTTACACATTAAACAGTCTGAAACTCAGCTTAGTGCAAATGTTGTCTTATTTCTCATCACAACAAATAAATAGCTTGATTACAAACAAATATTCAACACTGACTGCAAGTATTGAAAAAATAATAAAATGATACATCAGTTTGATTTGTTCAGTGCAATCTTTGTTTTGTGTTTAATAAAATCTTCCTGATCAATCAGCTCCACCAGAACTTCAGTTTCAAATTGTGAAGTGTGTGATAAAATGAGGACCACTGATTAGTGAACGAGGTTTGTCTTGGTGTTCGTGGACAGTTCCATCACTTATTCTGTTAAATAGATAAAACACAACATTAAATAAAGATTTTTGGTGAGAATATCATTTGTCTTGTTATAAAGCTGCTGACTGAATAATTCACTTACATATAAAATCACTACATGTCACTCATGCATATTAGATTCAGATAGGGTCACATGACTTCCTAAACCATTCCCCATAAGCAAAACTAAGCACTGCATAATGTCCATGCTCATCTCATTCCTTTGGCTTGTAGATCCATATGAAGTATGTTTTTTGTCCTGGTTCATGGACCAAACCAGAGGTAAACATAAGAAAACACTGGACTTGAATTCTACTGGTACTGAGGAAGAGGGCTCCAGTGTCAGGTTGCTCCTCTTCTAATAGTTGTTTACCATTGAAATGGAATAAACATATGGTCACTGTTGTTAGTTGCACTGTACTCCCTTGCTTATGTACTACAAAAATCATCAACATTAATGCAGCTTTAATTTTTGAGTATCTGATTACAGAAGATCTCAAATATCTGAAAAAAATCAGCTGTAAAATGGAACCACCGTGTATGTGTAAAGTCCTACTTGTACACTTGTACAGAAAAAATATAATTCATTCAATTTATCAGAGGAATAAATCTCTGTAAAATAAACACACTGTACCTGCATTTGTTCATAGATCCAGTTAATAAAGTAGGTTACATTGCCATAGACACCTGGCTTGTTCTTCAAAGCACAGCGATACCCCCAGCTAGTGTCCCCTGCCAGCCACCATATATCTGCCTCTTTGACCACCAGGGGCCCTCCACTGTCACCCTGCAGCACACAAGACAGATGATTATTTCATGTTATTGCATATATGTGTGTATGTGTATGGCACTGAGAGAAAACTGAGACTAACCTGGCATGCGTCAACTCCTCCCTGCAGTTTGCCGGCACAGATCATTGTCTCTGTGACGTCTCCGTTTAACACCTCAGGCCTGTTACAGGTCACTCTGGAGTAAATGGTCACCTGGGCCTGATGTAGTATGACAGGGCTTGGCCCTGAGAAGAATAAATGATTGTACACCCACAGTTAGCTCAGTCAGACATTAAAAGGCAAAACTTTAAGCCTTAAAAAGTAGGTGAACCCTTGACACATTTGAACAAATAATCTAGAGCGAGGAAGGAAAAGTACAGTCATGGCTATAATATTGGCACCCCTGCATTTCTATCAGATAATGCCCCACTTCTCCTAGAAAACTATTGCAATCACAAAGTCTTTGCTATGGTCATGTTTATTTCTTTTGTTTGCATAGGAACAAAAAGCAGAGAAAAGCCAAATCTGATTGATTCCACACAGAACTCCAAAAATAGACTGGACCAAATTATTGACACCTTTTCAAAATCACAATGGACAGTCTCAAGACTGACAAGATGCTTCCAGCCCATGGAGCTGTAGCTAATCTCCATGGATATGGACAAAAGAGAAAAACAGATGACAGACTGCAATGAAGAATTGTTCCAATGGTGGATAAAGAACCTTGATCAACTTCCAAACAGATTCAAGCTGACCTGCAGGCACAGGGTGCAACAGTGTCAGCTCACACTATCTGTCACCATCTGAATGACAAGGGACACTTTGGTAGGAGACCCAGGGGACCCACTGCTGACACAGGAACATAAAAACACCAGTTTGCCAAAACTGACCTGAGGAAG